TGTCACTGTGCAGTTCTTTCTGTTCTAATCAATACGTTTAGAAAGCCTCGTCCTCTCATGCTTAGGGCTCGGCAATTTAGCAGTTATTTTTGGTTTATTGCAGCTCTTTGAATGAGGGACAGGTGATTTAACCAATCACAGTGAAGTGCGAACTTTGCAAAGCACTAGAGGACTTTATTTACTTAGTAATAACGAGATACTAAAACTGGATGCTTAACAGTGAAATTGTGATCTTGGCTTTAAAAAATTGTCTTTTTTGGCATATTGCCCACCCCTACTCATACCTGGGTTTATTTTCACTACATGCTTTTCTGAAAGAATAACATCACTGCAGTCGGTTTGTTTAAAGAAAGCCAACAGCAGTGCTAATTTAATTTGATTTTTTTTTTTTTTTGGACTGAGAAGAGAAAGGGCTGAGAAACAACCTTATCTCTCTGCTGATTCTTACCGAACAGAAAAGTGTGTTTTAAAAGCTGAACTGGGTGAGATTGAGGGCGACTGAAAAAGACAATGGCAAAAGAACAATAATGTTTTGACTTTGTGCCACCAGAGTCATTTTAAAAGCATTTATAGCTTCAAATGACTTTAACAGACCATCCTTTTTCATAATCGTCTGCAGGGCACAGGGGGTGGACAGTTTCAGACTTTATGTAGTTACAAGTGACCCCCATTATAACCAGAGCTAGGTAAAAGCACTTGGACTGTGTGTAGTCGCATTTCAATTTGCAAATATTGGAATTGTTTCAGTGAGGCATCTTTAGAATTCAGGATATGAGAAAAAGATGCACTTAAACCTGTTGTTACTTACTATTGCCTCACTATGAAGTCATGCGAGTCAACCGTGTTTCATCTGAATCTTGAAGTATAAAAAAAAGACACAAATCTAATCACCACTGCATTGAAAGTAACAGTGCTCTCTGACTGAACTATACACAACATCTATGACACATATGTGATCATGCTTAGTATTAGTCCTGGGAGTAGGGTTATCCATACTGTCCGTCACAGTAACAAATTTTGAAGTACGATTTATTTCTGAAGAAAATATAAATGATAAGAAATAATATTGAAACAAATTTGTGCCACTATATGACACAATAACTTTAAATCCCCCCCAAAACATATTCTGAATGTACATTATTGTTAAAAAAAACCAAAACAAAACATGAGCTGCAATAAACACTAATTAGTTTGTATCTAAAATCATAATCAGAGAAGTTACCTTGCAGGAGTTGACCTTCAACTGCTGCAAAAAGAACCAAAAAATCCTCACTAGCATGAAAAATGTACACACTATGCGTACATATATATATATATATATATATATATATATATATATTATGCACATAACTGCAGGGTGTAAGATGCTGGCAGGAAAAGCATACATGGAGCGACATAACCAAGTGGCGGGCATAGTGTACAGAAACATCTGTGCAGAGTATGGGCTGGAAACCCCAGGATCAAGGTGGGAAACTCCTCCAAAGGTTGTGGAGAATGACCGAGCCAAGATCCTGTGGGACTTTCAGATACAGACTGACAGAATGGTGATGGCGAACCAACCAGACATAGTGGTGGTGGATAAGAAACAGAGCAGAGCCGTGGTGGTGGACATCGCAATACCAAGCGATGGTAATATCAGGAAAAAGGAACACGAGAAGCTAGAGAAATACCAGGGGCTCAAGGAAGAGCTGGAGAGAGCCTGGAAAGTAAAGGCATCAGTGGTGCCTGTGGTGATCGGAGCACTCGGGGCTGTAACCCCCAAACTGGAAGAGTGGCTACAACAGATACCGGGAAAAACAACGGACATCTCAGTCCAGAAAAGTGCAGTACTGGGAACAGCAAAGATACTGCGCAGAACTCTCAAGCTCCCAGGCCTCTGGTAGAGGACCCGAGCTGAATGAGGGTGAGAGAGACCTACTACCGTGGAAGGTGAGAAAAACACATTTATATATATATATATATATATATATATATATATATATATTATATATATATATATATATACACACACACATATATATATATATATATATATATACACACACATATATATATATATATATATATATATATATATATATATTTTTTTTAATATATATATATATAAAATCGCTACAGTAATTATCGTGACAGGCGTATGACTGAAGGTAAATGAGTGTGTGGAATTTACCTTCAGAGACAAATAGTACCACATTCCTATTCTTCTGTATTGATACTTTGCACCTGATACTGTTAACATTCTCAGGGGTGTGAAGCTAACTGAAAGCAATACACTGTTTGAAGCTCTGTTACACAAATTCGATTTAATTTGAGCTTTATTTTAACACAATCCAACCAGAAAAAGATGACTTGGATGGAACTACAACTGGTGAACTGATTTGTGGTGTTCAACAAGTAAACAAGTCTCACTTTTTTGTTGAATGTTCATATTGATACATATACAGGCTCCTAAAAATGTGTTATTTAAATCTATTTTGTAGCCTATTTTTCTTTAATTTTCAGACTGTATTAAAACATTTTTGTCAGTTTTTGCTAATGTGTGCATTGTGTCACCTTGGTAACTGGTGTTACATTCTGCCAATAGAGATACATAGAACACCTCCATTGTGATGTCCCTGTCACTGCAAAGTATCAATAAGTGTGAGAGTACAGTGAGTGTATTAGTGTAATGTCACTGAGGCCAGAGAGCAGCTCTCACTCTATTGTTGCTTATGAGGTCACAGGCTTTACAGTGTGTCATGGAAATAATATGGTACACCACAACTGTTTGATCAACACACTACAGAGAGAGAGAGAGAGAGAGAGAGAGAGAGAGAGAGAGAGAGAGAGAGAGAGAGAGAGAGAGAGAGAGAGAGAGAGAGAGAGAGAGAGAGAGAGAGAGAGAGAGAGAGAGAGAGAGAGAGAGAGAGAGAGAGAGAGAGAGAGAGAGAGAGAGAGAGAGAGAGAGAGAGAGAGAGAGAGAGAGAGAGAGAGAGAGAGAGAGAGAGAGAGAGAGAGAGAGAGAGATGGAGGGGGGGTCAAAGAGGGAGAGAGAAATGTGATAGAGAGACAGGGAGAGAGACCCTCCTGGACCTAGAGAGAGACAAATTACATAATGTTGTGCCAGTGTCTTGTAGCCCCATGCTCATGTATCCACAGCCCAAACCAATTAGAAAGCTTACATAAAGATAAGACATTCTTTATTAGGAAAGGCTGCCCGTAGGAACAAAAGGAATAGTCAATTGTGCATAATACACACAATAGCACAGGCTCTGACATGCACACACCCACGCTGCCAACGCGCATCTTTCACTATGTCTTTGTACAGTTATTAATGCCCCGCGGCTGCTGTGTTTCCAACTTGAATCTAATCAAGTGAAATGCTGTGAGGGTCCTCGGGAGAAAGAGCAGGTCTGACCGCTCACACTCCAATCCCTGGCATTTCAAACCAAGCCCTGTCCTCATTGCTCACAGCTGTAATTGTACACGACAAGCCAAGATTAATAACATCTACAAACAAATATTAGTCCACTCACTCTGGATTCAACTTGTTCTCTTGATTGTCTTTTCACAATACCCAAATAGTAAAACATGCATTCACAGTTTTCAGTATTTCATTCTTGTACACCTAGTGTGTCCTTCCTATCCTCTCCACTGCACATTACATAATTGCCATGCTTTTCCATGCTTAAAACAAATGCCTTTAACACGTAGACTAAAAGTGTTTAGTCTGCACAAGACAAGGTGAAATTCTGGCTCGCTGGCCATCCTTGAAATAATAACTCAGCGTCCAGAGTTTCCCATGAATGTCATGTTCAAGGGCTTTGTACAAGCATCCCAGACAGTAAATTATTCATATAAAAATCCTGTTTGAAACTGCCTGGCTCTGCTTCATCAACTGTTGAACCATGTAGTTGGCGTTGTGCGCTGGAAAAATGTTAGCACGGTTTTCTGCTTTCAAAGAACAGCTAGCAACAGATCTGATGCTTAAAATGAACATACACAGATGAATATTATTAAGATTAATATTTATTTTGCAGCATTAAATGTTAATGTATAAAAAAGTAGTATGTGATGGTTAGAAGCTGAAAGTAGATACATAAATCAAACACTGTTCTCAGAAGACTTAATTTACAGTTGGCCATTTACTTTAGTTGATGTTCTATTGTCCATATTTTCTTTGCTAATTTACTTTTATATCATTGCTGCGTGGGTGGAGACAGTTGTTCTTAGCTAAAAATACACAAATCCTAATTAGTGCTGTCACCTTAATTACCTTGTATCACTTACAAACACGTATCTTTTTAAATTGCAGATTTCCATTAAAAGCTATCGTGTTTTTCATTGTTAGTTTTAAGTTTGATTCTGTAACTGTGTAGATCTGTATGCAGTGTGTAAAACCATTTGATCTCCTTTGTCCTGTGTCACTTTTGGACTCCCTGTACTTTATGAATGACTGCTCTTATCTTGTCCTCTTTTATGGTCTGCTTATGCACTGCATTGTATTAAACGGATGTGATTTGTTTGCCAGCTGGTTGTCACAGGTGGTAAAGGATTAGTCAAGTCTCTGCTGCTGTATTCATTACACGCCCACATAAAACAAGCTAGCACGCCCAACCACGAGTTAGCGTACACTGCTTAGCCCAGCTTTGTTTAAACCTTCTGAGGTGGTTGAGACGAGATCATGTAACTACACCACATCTGCCTTACGTGGTCACTGGAGAGGAGGGTTGGATTACATTTAAACTAACCAACTAAGTATTTGACTACTTACTAACCAAAATATTTGTTTAGTGGCCAGCTACTAGGAACTATCCTTGAATTACAAAGTACTGTGATTCATAGTGTGTGAGATTTAGTTTCCTTTGATGCGTGCCATTATTGAGTCACTGATTTTTTAAGCTGTTTAGTAGCAGAGTGCAAAATACTGAACTAAAATGTTAGTGTTGATAAAGTAGGTCAAACACAAGAAAGAATATTTGATTTCATGAAGCTAATGTCATGTAATGTTTGATTTTCAGGTCAAGAGGAGGATGGCCGTAAAGTACTGGTCCTGAGTTACCCACAGTACTGCCGGTACCGCTCAGTGATGGTGCGTCTCCGGGAGCAACCGTCATCTCTGCTCATTGACCACACTGTGCTGGCTCTGGGGGGCATCGCGGCGCTGGGAGGAGCCACGAGGATCCTTTACTGTAGGGACACCTTTGAGCACCCCTCCCTCCTGCACAACGACAGCATCTGTGATCAGTTTGGTGAGTTTGTCATTCTTTTACTAGAACGCATTTATCATGGTCCAGTTACAGCCTTAGGGAACAAATGCTTAACTTTAAGTCAAGCCATGGTTGTATTAAATAAGAAATATGGGCTGTTTTGGAAGTGATTTGCGCAAGAACAGGAATACAATCTTTAATCAATGAAATCTTCAAATAACAGATTTTTTATAATGTTATTCACATTTTATAAATAATATGTTCACTTTGATCACAGACATGCTCTCATCACTTCAGTTATGTGCAAATGAGAAAGTCCTGCAGGGTGCCAAAAACACACAGCTCTCCAAAAGGTTTGATAAGAGTGTGAGCAGGCCTGTGCTCATGAAGTGGGCTGCTGGGTATTTTCAGCACAAACGCGTATGTGGGATGGACTTAAATAAACCATAGTGCTAGAGTTTAACACTGTGAAGCAATGTGTCACCCCGGGCAACAGTGAGGGGCTCATTTGTGTGTTTAAAATAGTTTCTTTGTGACAGGAGTTTGCATGTGTAAAATACATTAACTGTACACTAGAGTATTAAACAGTGTTGGCATTGTTCTTTGGCATTGCTTTTATGCAGTAGTAACAGCAGTTTATGGTACTTTAGTTGTTTATTTTGTTTCTTAATAGGACCTTTTATGCGGCAAGTTGTGTGTGTGCATGTATATATATATATATATATATATATATATATATATATATATATATATATATATATATATATATATATATAAACTTCTTTTAAAGTCTTATATTCATGTTAGGTCCAGTGAACCTTGTTTAGAAAATATCTTTATGGTATATTCAATGACTCAAAGTTCCATTTTACCTGGTTACTACTGAATGTACTCATGTATATGTCTCAAAATATTTTCCAAATGTGTAACATTGTTTGTCTACCTCATATATTACTATGCATATTTACTGCTAGCAGAATGTCATGAATTTGTATGTATGGATGATGGGAGGCAGTTTATGACTTTGATTTGAGTTGTTGTCTATAGATCTTCATACGTCTTCACCTCCCTAACTGTAGTTCTAACCTCTCTCAGGTATAGTGCCATTGAGTCCAATGTTTTTGAATATGAAGTGACCATGTCTCGCATGCTCAGGTCACACCTCTGTGAGCCTCCTGTGGCTCTGCTGTGGAATTTCGAAAGTGCTGGAACATGCCTATTTGCCATTCATACTGTGTTTTTCCTGTCCCTCTTGTATCCACACATTTTATTAACCTCATGCCAAGCTAAAACAAAGGCACCATCGCATGATTCATCTCTTTATATTTCCTCTGCAGCTCTGGGCACTTGTGCTGGATCACTTCTGACATTCCCAGTAACAACTCCTCTGGTCCAAAAGTCATTGTTTTGTGATCCTGTAAACTCACCCTTTGGTAATTGCTTTTTAAGAGATCTGCAGAGGTGAAGTCAGGAGGAAAATGGTTTTAGGCTCAGGAAAATAAGTTATGAATAGTAACGTGACTTCCTGTGGCTGCTGTTGCTCATTGACTTGGCCCAATAATGCCATTCCTGAGTGGGCCACATTTAAGCCAAGGTTTATTTTGAGAGCCTCGGGGAGCTCCAGGTCTGACTGTAAAGACTGTTACACACATGAGGGTTTATGAGGGCTGCACCGCCTTTAAAATGCTCTAAGAGCTGTGTTTGTGACTGTGGCACTGAAGTCAAGGGGCAATATTAGAATGTAAACATATGAGTGTTTGAATAGTATTTATGGCCATTCTAATTGAATGGATTATAGTTATTAGTCTAATTAGATAATACTGTCCTTTATAGACCATTTTATGTTATGCTATAAATACTCTAGTTTAATAAATAAGTAATTAGTTTATCTCATAATGTTATAATTAGTGAATGATAAAATGGTTTTGGCAATGAACTACAAATTGACTGTGTATTTATCATCCTTTCTTTTTAAGCTATTTAATAATAACTTCTTTATAACTTTTTTCATAGTAGAAGCCAGGATCAGTTGCTGTCAAACTGTAATGACTGTTTGCTGTTGTAATGTATAGATATGTTGCGGTATCCTTAGTATAAAATTGACCTGGGAGCAGTTCGGAGGCTGTGTTCTCATCTCGCCTCGATGCTAATTTTGACCTTTTAAATTCCGCCAAATGTGCTGTGGCAGCTCTAATAGCTGTCCATCTTGTCTGAGCTAATTCATGAAAGTGTGTCAGGTGACCTCAGGGGGTAGAGAGGAAGAGGAGGAGGCAGCTAATGTGCGTTTGTGGAGACTATTGTGTGAAGATCAGATCAAAGCCTGCTCTCTATATTCTTCATATGGGTTTAACATAAGGCTGAAGGGGTGTGCATTCCCATTACATTATTGATTACCCCCATCTCTGACATAACGTCCTCTTTATTGATTTGTATATTTTGTTTGGCCCCCTGCACCTCTTCCCCTGTACTGTACATAATTCATATCTTCTGTTGCTGTCACATTCGCTGTCCTTGGCTGCGCAGGCCCAAACTGCAGGTTGTGTGTGTAACCAGATCTGGGAGCCCTGCGATCCATATTCATGTCGGCCATCATGTGTCACCCCTGCAGCTGCTCGCCTCACGGGGAATGACATACTTTTTGTTTAGAATTATCATGCATTCTTTGCCAGGGGGCCATTGATTATACCCATGCTAGTCCTCAACCCTGCTTTCATTTGTTGCCAGGAGAAACGCAATATTAGAAATCGCAGCAAGGAAAAAGTGGATCTGGAAAATATAAACAAAGTCTCACATTGTGTATAATAATATTGGCATTTCTGCGGCACTGCTTGAGCTATGAGGAAAAGCCAGAAATAGTGCGAGTGGGCTAGTGAATGACAGATGACAGTTGTGCTATTAGCTGTCATGACACTGTTGGGCACATAGATTTGGCAGCGCTGTGGGCAGGCTGCAGCATAAACATTTGTAGCCTGGGCTTTGCAGTAATGTATATCAAGCGTGTGTTTAAAGAGAGCTCTGGTTTGCCCTGACAGACGCTCTTTTAAGGAAATATTATGGCTGAAATTCCTGCCATATTCCCCTGATTTCAAAGTTATGCCCCAGAAGTGCTGACCTTCCTGTCCCCTCCCTGGTTGGAAACCTTACACTGCTTATGCGCACATTGCTTAAATCAACAGTATTTTCAGAGCTCGTGAGGCAATCTTTTCTGAAGCAAAGCAGCTGACTCGTCCTACCTGCTTCTCATTTGTCGTAGATTTCCCAGATTCTTTTTTTGGCACTGTGATTTTTCAAACAGACCTTTGTATATTGAGAGAATACTTAAACTATTCTTGCTGCAGTCATCATTTTATTTGTAATAAAATCCTTTGAATGATAATCCAAATAGGCAGGTGAAGAAGTACATACTGTTCATTGCTCCAGTTACATTGTCCAGGCGCTCTGTTCACTGTACTCAATGTATTACTATTGGACTGGACTTAAATTGGTCACATCTGTTTTTTTCTGTTACCTAAAAATGTCTTTCTTCGTTAGACAAACTGAAATATAGATTTTAAAGCAGTACATAAGTAAAAGTACAAGAAAACCAGCCTGTTATCTCCATCTCATTTTTATATATTCTATGTATTATGCCATAATTAAATGATGATTAATGATGAATATCTGTAGTATTTGACAGATCCTATGTCTCACACACAGCCTTGTTGGGTTGGGTCACAGATTGAACATACAGCAGTGATGTCATTGTTTCCACAACTTGAACCACTTTCTCACTGGTCTTTCTTTAAACATGAAATCTGATTAGATGAAATATGCATAGAGCAATACGGTCCCATGACAGCACCGTCTGTTAATGTAATAGGCAAATTGCTTGCTAAGCTCATGTTTTCCCATCTCCTCTGCAGATTTGTCTTAACCACCGGCCTATGAATTTTTCATCATCCATATGTCACGTATACAGGGCCGTCGAGGAGGACTTTAGAGGAGAAAAGAGCACATGTTGTCATTTCATAATCATAGCCTGCTATTAAAGGAAGCGTATGGTACATTGCCTTTGTACAAGTATGATGTTTTTATAACGTGTATTATCTTCACTAAACACACAATAGTGATTATGTGATGTACACAGCTACATGTTATTGTGCATAAGGCACAGACTTTATATAACTACACTTAAAGAGCTTTGTGCTTTTCATCCAGTATTAGTATAAAGCATGTGCGTAATAAGCTACAATTTAGGCAATTATTCCTACTGTGCTGTGCTGCTTATCTATTTGGCCAAACAGGGACTATTATGTAGGAAGCTTTTCAACAGCCTTGACCTGCTTTTTATTTACAGCGCAGACTTTTTCTCAGAGGACCAGTGAGAATCAGGAAGCATCGACTGGCACTAACACATTTGGTTGAATGTTTGCCCAATATACACAGATAACATATTGATTCACATTGATTAACTCTGCAGAAGGCTTTTCCTCCTGCACGGGTCGATATCTCCTATGAGAAACATAACTGTTATTGCCATTTTGCATGAACTATAACTTTAAGGATGTCTCTTACTACTGATACTGCTGATGAAAACTAGGATCATGCATAGTTTATCCCTCAAAAAATAAACCTAAAATTGTGATCAATGTCCTAAAAAGGAATTACATGTTTTACTGATGATTAAAATCATTTCCTGAAGCGAAGTTTTTAGGGATGCAGTGATTCAGCCTTTTCAGCTTCGTGTTAAGTGTCTGCTGATAGCCAATATCAGTCTATATCAAACTGATTCAAATGTGTTATGTTGCTGTTATTAATCATACAAGTAACTATTGAACAGCTTTGTATAAATAAAAGTTCAAACATTATGATACTTTCTGGACTATGACCAGAAAAAGGTCTCATTACATCAGTTTAAATGTAAATGATATCTGGAAGCCAATATCCGGTATAGCAAATTTTTCAGTATCAATGACAGTGTCTGATACTAGTATCAGATTGGTGTATCCCTAGGAGTGTTGTTATAATTACAATATATTGTCATTCCGCTAAGAGATGTTAAA